CTGAGCGATTTTGTCATACAGGTATTGTCCGAAATCCTCCGCCCTGCCTTCCAAGGGATCCTCCCGCGCTCCCGGATGGAGCATGGAGCGGGTTACCCTGAACAGGGCGGCCGGACGATTCCCTGATGACGCAATAGAGGTGGAAAAGTAGTTAAACTTTGCCGTCTTTATCGCCACTAGGTAGGTCTTAATATGCGACCTTACCAGTGTTCGGTCAGATTCAGCGAGACTGGCCCTCCAACCGCTCTCTAGGCATCTTTTCCGGCGTTTCATCTCCCTCAGCTCCTCGGTGAACCAAGGAGCCGCGAGGGATCGACACCGGGTCAGAGGCCGCAAATGCACGACTCGATCCAAGGCCCCACCAGCCGCCCGATCCCAGGCAGCTACCAGGTCCTCGGCCGAGTCGTGTGCCAGATCTTCAGGAATTGGCCCAAGCTCCGTCTGGAACCTATCAGGATCCATCAGGCGCCTGGGGCGGATCCATCTAATTGGGTCCGCCTCCCTGTGGCGGGGTGTAGCGGTTCGAAGGTCCAGATGAAGGAGTGAGTGATCTGACCATGACAAGGGTTTCATGTCTATATCCCCTATAATAAGACCACTCAACCACTGGCCAGAGACAAAAATCAGGTCCAGCGTGTGTGTCCCCCTGTGAGTGGGGCCATGAACTAACTGGGTCAGGTCCATGGCCGTCATGGAAGCCATGAACTCTCGAGCCATCTCCGACGTTTCACCAACGGACGGCAGATTGAAATCACCATGACCATAAGCCTGGGTGTATCAACTGCCACCGTGGCTATCACGTCGAGTAGCTCGGGCAGGGCCGTTGCCACGCGGCAGGGAGCCAGGTACGTAAGCAGCAAGCCCATCTGAACCCCATGACCCCATCTCACAAAGAGGGACTCACATCTGGCAATCTGTGGCACAGTGGTCTCCCTCGAACCCAGACCTTCGTTAATAATAACTGCCACCCCCCGCCCCTCCCCTGGGCCCTCGGCTGATGGAATGCTCTGAAGCCTGGTGGGCACATCTCAACCAGAGGGACCCCTCCCTCCGGGCCCAACCAGGTCTCCGTAATACCCGCCAGGTCCGCTTCCCCCTCTTGAATAAGATCGTAAATGAGGGGGGCCTTATTTACCACGGATCTGGCATTGCACAGCATCAGCCGGAGGCCCAGGTCCTGAGTATCTGAGCCGCCTAGTATCCGAGGGGAGCCTTGAGGACCGGGGCGCGCAATGGCTCTCAAGTAGCGAGTGCGCACCCCGGCACAAGATAAGGTCCTCTGCTCCCGCCATATCTACCCCTCCCATCCACCGTGCTGATGACATTCCCAATCCCTCGTCCTGCGCCCTCCAAACCGTTACCCTGTGCCGGGCTGGGCCCTGACCTAGGTGGATTACCCCACCCCCATCCCCTTTGGTCGCCCTCCCAGTTCCCCTTAAAAGATTATTAAAAACCCTAATAAAAAAACCCCCGCTTTAAAACATGCCACCTCTCGGGGCTCCAAAGCCCGTCCTTAAGGTAGGCCTTCGATAGAGTGGAAGGCCATCGCCGCGAGAGGGGGGCATCTCGCAGCGTGAGCAAATCTGCTGAGATATAAGCCATACAAGTATGATGAGATGGAAAAGGGGAACCTTGGATGTCAGCGATATTTAAAGATAGTCATTGAGGTGAGAGATGGCAAAAGAGGCTGGCCAGGATGAAGCTGGGGCCCCTTCACTCTCTCACAGTGATGGGGCGACCAGATCAGATGGTTGCAGTGCAGGCGGATGGCCACAGCCGTTCTCTCACCGTGGCTGGATGTAAAAGGCCAACAATAGTCACTCTCTCCCTGCAGATGGAGCAGCAGTCCTTGACCTGGACTCTCAGCTTCTCCTTCCAGCCTGCAATCTCTCCTCCCCCGAGCCAAGGCCTAAAGGTGGAAATCGGGCGGCAGGAATAAACTAGCCAGCAGCAGAAGGAGATAGAGAACAAACATAAAAATCCAGGAGGGTGATAATAAAGTCCCAGAGTCAGTAGTGATGGAAAAATGGGCCGACCTAATAGAGAGTCCAGGTAGCAACGGGGGGAGGCCATTTTCATGGGGGGGGGGGCGAATCCAAGGGGGAAACCAGATGGTAATTGGCAATCCCCCTCTATCACTCCCCAACTCCCTTCGATGTTCCGGGCCAAATCACCCCCAATAGTCCTGCCCGTTTTCTCCGAGCAAATTCTGCCACGATCTTCCCAGGTCTCGGTCCATGTGGGGGGTTTTCAGGCGCAGCTGACCGCTGGACCATACTCCCCGAGCCTCAAATCTGGGCTAAATAACTGTTTGAAGCGGCCAACAGGCCTCCGAGCCTCCGGGTGCCGGGTCCATCGCCCTCCGCTTCCCGCACCCCCCCTTCCCCGGCAGCCCAGCTTTTTTCCGGCCACCGTCAAATCGAAGGGAGGCTTGGGTCGCTATAGATGATTCCCTCGGCTCCCTCAGTTCTCCATCCGGCTCAGTTAGACTCCCCGGACCACCTTAACTCCTTCACCTCCTACAGTCGGTCCGTAGGATGAAATGCCCGATTTCCGGGGCTCCGCGGCTGTGGAGTCATCGTGGAGGCCGCCATCGCCGCCGCCGCCCTCCTTACAGTGCTCCGATTATGTCTCCTCGCTGTAGCTCTGCCATCCCAGGGCCAATCCCAATAAGGGATGGCACATCCGAACCGTCAGACCATCGGCATGCTGAACGTGGGGCCCAAGATCACTAAAACGGCCTCCGACATTTCCAAAGTTCTCCTTTTCCCCATCAACCTCAACAGCGAGCCCCTCGGAGGTCCGCCATCTTACGCATGCGCAGGGATTTTTTAGATGTAGTTCCATTAGAACTACTTGTTGAGTATGGTTTGTCAGCCAGTTACAAATCCATCTGGTGGTGATGTTGTCTATCCCACAATTTGCTAGCTTTTCAAGAAGTAGGTTTAGGTCTACTTTGTCAAATGCCTTAGACTTAGACTTTAGTAAGTCTAAGGCATTTGACAAAGAAGACCAAAATATACTATGTACACAGCATTTATCTGGTCCTCTATCTATCTATCTATCTATCTATCTATCTATCTATCTATCTATCTATCTATCTATCATTTCCAGAGGGCAGGACCTGTATGCTTGGTTTCTTTTAACAAATAACTCATTCAAACATTCTGTTATTTTCAGGCCATTTCATTAACTTAAAAGGATTGAATGTTCCATTGAATGTGATTTCTGTAATGTATTTCCTCTGTCTTCCGGAACCACCTTCAGGTATTGCAGGATATCCTTTTCTTCCTCTATGGTGTGTCCCTAAAAGTTTTTTCTGATTTCTAGAGATGCAGAAGGCCTCTATGCCTTTTGCTTCCAGTTGTCATTCTTATTTCACTAAATGTCTTCCTCTGTTTGGTTTTTTTTTTCCTTGTGGAGAGTTGCTTCTCTCCGCTTCCAGGCCTTTTTGGTCCAGTGAATCTTTCATTTTCCTCCTGAGCTGAAATGTGTTCAGTGTTCCAATCATTTTGGACTTTTTTTCCTCTAGCACTAATTTGTACTTGCTGCAAATATAAGTCAATTTTTTTCAGACAGGAGACCAAACACACGGTAGACTTTGCAATTCAGGACTTCTGAATTATGTCTGTTCCTCTTCTGTTTTTTAGGCAGCACTAGTAGAAACAGAATAGAATAAAATAGAATTCTTTATTGACCAAGTGTGATTGGATACACAAGGAATTTGTCTTTGGTGCATATGCTCTCAGTGTACATAAAGAAAAATAAAATACATTCATCAAGAATCATAAGATACAACACTTAGTGATAGTCATAAGTTACTAATAAGCAATCAAATCATACTAGGAAACAAAACAATATAAATTGTAAAGATATAAGCAACATGGTTATAGTCATACGTGAGAAGAGATAGGTACTAGGAAGGATGAGAAGAATAGTAGTAATAAAGACACAGGGAAAATTTATTACAATCATTGAACACACTGTCTTCACAAACTTTGCTCTAACTTTGGGCCAGTCACTCTCTCTCCGCCCAGTGCACTTTACAGGGTTGTTGCTAGGGAGAAAATAGAAGGAGGAAAGCGTATTAGGTACGTTCGCCACCTTTAGTCATTTATAAAAACAATAAAGGTGGAATACAAATGAATAAACAAATGAAAAAAATGTTGTATTAGCTGCCTCTGTACAGTATGTTAGCCCAGTGAATTCTTTCTCCAAAAGCTGGTTGCCTTATATTCCTAGGATGCAACTCTGCTTACTCAAGAACAAGCAGGCATTCACTCACTCACAATCAGCAAATATCAGCCACGCATTTCTTGTAACAGCAACTGTTTGTGAGCTCTCTTTTTTTCCACAATAGCTGAGCATGCAATTTCTCAGGATCCCTGGCTGTCTAGACATTCTCTCTTCCCTGTCCCTTCCTGCTGATGAATTGTGTTGCAATTCTCCTTTGAGCTCTTCTGTTTGCTTAATCTGAGGACAAGAACACAAGAGTTGGAACAGAGAACTGCATGTACTTTGTGAAGTCATCTGCATCCCCAGAGATGGTCTGCTGTCTTCAGGTGAAGTCCTGCTCTCAGCAGCCTTTGGTCACTAGCCTCTGCCTGTTGAAGGGCATCATTGTGCCTTTCAGGCAGCCAGGTATCTTGCTGCTGCTGTGGTCCAGTCTGCCTTTGGAAGCCCATTGTGCCTGATTTCTGAGCCATGCTGGCGCAGTGGTTAGAGTGCAGTACTGCTGGCTACGTCTGCTGACTGCCGGCTGACTGCAATTTGGCAGATCGAATCTCACCAGGCTCAAGATTGACTCAGCCTTCCATCCTTCTGAGGTTGGTAAAATGAGGACCCAGATTGTTGCAGGCAATATGCTGACTCTGTAAACCACTTAGAGAGGGCTGGAAAGCACTGTGAAGCAGTATATAAGTGCTATTGCTATTTTTCAGGAGAAGCTCTTCTGCTGCCAGCTTTTGATGTTTCACACTCCGTCCTCTTTATCCCCACAGGGACATCTTAAAACGTGGCGGCTCAGCCATAGATGCTGCTATTGCAGCCCTGGTCTGCACATCAGTCCTGAATCCACAGAGCATGGGTCTGGGTGGAGGCGTTATTTTCACCATCTACGATGCACCAACAGGTAGGTTCATTCAACCTTGAGGAGAAGTGGCCTCAGGTGGAACCATTAATGTTGCAGCATGTACTGCTCCTCAAAAAAGGATGGTTGGTCACTTTTGACTACTTTGAATCATGGCTTTTAAAACCCTAAGAAAATTAAGGAAGCGTAAACTACCAACAAACTATAGCTTTAGATGTGGATTGAATATGGGGTTTGTGAGTGAAATAAGTTATTTGAGATTTGAATCTAGGTAAACTTTGTCAGGAAAATGCTAGATGTTATTCATCACCTCCATGGAAGCTGTGTGGATTTTTCAATATGTTCTCCTTTGGACTGCAGGAAAAATTGAGGTGCTCAACGCTCGTGAAAGGGCTCCTCAAAACATCACTGAAGGTTTGCTGAAAAAGTGTAGAGGTGGTTTGCTTCCAGGTAACTGTATAATTCAATAATACAATGGCTTGAATCAATGGGGCTGGAAAGGAAATGCATGTCGGGGGGGCTTGAGACCTTGTTCTTTGATCGCTTTGGGAGAATCAGCCTGGTAGGTGTTATGTACACCAAGAGATGATCTCATTTCCACTGGAAGAAACATGAAGCTCCTTTGGGAAAAGAGCCCCCAGAGGTGGTTTCTCCATAGAGGCAGCTTGTGTAAGATGGCATCAGCACATTGGATGGCCTCACTCCCCTCCCCAAACTGTTATAAGTGTCTTCAATCCAGTGTGTGAATCCAGTTGAGTTTTGCAACCCATGATTAATGGTTTAGGGTTCTGTGGCTTATTCAACAATTTTTAATTAAAACAATGCATGGCTTACAGTTTTGCATTGTGCCACTTAGATGCAGTGGTGGGATTCAGATAATGTAACAACTGGGTATGGCCAGGGGGTATGGCAGCATTCAGCCTCCTGCAGCACTCTGCCAGCCAAAGCGGGATAGGGGGGTTAATTACAAAATGTGGGCTTTGCTTTGTGACATCCAGATCCAGCGAACAAGGGGTGCAAACTGCACAGAAAATGCACTTTTGTTTGGTTATAAAGAAATATCCCCAAAGCCAGATGTACACTAAATGTAGACTGACTATTAGCTACACATTACCCCAGCAAACAGCAAATTTTGAAGCTCCAGGTAAAGAGGATTCATTTTAGGATGAGTAACCACAGTTTACATGTTGGAGGTTCCTAAAGGAATGCTGGGAAACTCTGTATTTTAAAGAACATTTGAGGGAGGAGTGCCAAATAGCCCTTCTCTGCGTGAGTCTGTAGAGACCCGGCACCAGTGAAAACATATTTTGTGAAGTAACTGATCAACGCTGACAGGGTAAGCCACTAGTATATGAAAATAAGAGCAAACTCCACTCCCTTCTAGCACTGATGATGTTACGTAGTTTGGTAATGAAGCATCTTCAAGAAAGCCATTAAGCTCAGAGAGCACCAAGGAACCCACAGTTCAACCCTGAGCTGCAAATATTCTCTTCTATCGATAAACACTTTTTGGTTAGAGGGATTCAGAATCTGTGTTATATGAGATGGCTCCCAATGGATTTCATTCTAAATTTTGATGTAATTTCTGTAAATAAGGAATGTAGACTTATAAAGGCTGGGTATTTGATCCTTCATACATTAAAAAAAAAATACAAAGCTAAGAGATAAACAAATAAAAAACAGATTTGAAAAAAGAAAAGGCTCAGGAAAGAAAAAGAATGAAAGTATAAGAAAGAAAGAGGAAAAGAAGGAAAACTGAAAAAGAATGACTTCCAACTTTCTTTGGTACAGATATAAGTAAAATATATCAAACTCTTACTCTAAGATTAACATTTGTCTACATTATTTCCATAATTCCTTATTTAATAATCAAAGCCCAGATCAACTTTTAATTTCAGTTTCTCACAAAAAGAAGAATGAAGAAAGAAGAATCCAGTAATGGTTCATATTGGTTTAATCACTATTTGTTAACGAAACAAATAGTGATTTATTTAATTGCTCTAAATAAAATAAACTCTAAATAAAACAGGAATGGAAAATCCTAAACTCTAGTGTAGATCCATGCTTCTCAACTTCGGCAACTTTAAGGTGCAGGGACTTCAATTCCCAGAATTTCCCAGGCAGCATGAAATTCGCCCATCTTATACTTGCCAAGACTGAAAGACGCTGATCTACAGATAGGGATTTTCCACTCCTCTTTTACTGGTTCCTACTTACCTATGAGCAATCATAATCAAAATCCCCATTCTCAACTCACCCTAGAGCATGGGTTTTGGGCCCGGAAGCCTCCTGCACCACCCTGGAAGCCAAAACGGGGCATGCAGGCAGATGTGGCATTAGCCGGTTCTCCCAACTGGGCAAAAAGTTAATAACCAGTTCACACGAACTGGTGCAAACTGTCTGAATCCCACCTCTGCTTAGATGCCATAAGACTGATAGAATTTCAGATGTCAATCAATCAATCAATCAGAATAGAGCTGAAAGGGACCTTGGATCTACCGGTAGTTGGACCTTCTAGTCCAACCCCATGATCAAACAGGAGACCCTATACCATTTCAGACAAGTGACTGTCCAGTCTCTTTTTAAATATCTCAAAGACTTCAGATGTGGAGGAACGTAGCCTCTTTAATCCCAAAGAGGATTCCTTAAGCAGAGACAAACATACAGGTGGGCCTTCATATCATCAGCCATTCTCTTCTGACTTATGATCCTTAAAAACATCAACCATCCTTGCACCTGAAAGGGTTTTGCTAGGATGAATGATCAGGTAGATCAGTGATTCTTAACCTTACTGATTTTAAGATGTGTGGCTGGCTGGTTGGGGAATTCTGGGTGATGAGAATCCACACATTTTATTAAGGTTGAGGAACACTGAGGTAGACACTCAGATTTTTCTACTAATAATTTTGGTATGTTTTTACAAGTCCCAAGGGAGTTCTGGAACTAACCCAAGCAGTCTAATAGTGAAATTAGGGTGATCATTTGAGAAGACTCTGCATGGATACATAATGCCTTTCTTTGGTAGGGTCTCAATGGATTGCTGTTCCTGGGGAACTTCGTGGTTATGAAGAAGCTCACCGACACTATGGCAGATTGCCATGGAAGGACCTTTTTGAACCCACCATTGAGATGCTTAGCCTTGGGATCCGGGTATCAGACGTTTTGAGCCCGTTTCTAACACTCCTAGAGTCTCCTTTGAAGAATTCATCCTCATGGTGAGACCAAAGTTTGAAACGTGGGATTGGCCAATGGCAGGCCAGTATTCCGTTTGGATCCTTTACAGCAATTCTGAACATAGCCAGACTAAGAATGTTTCCTACAATCCTTTGGCCACTCTTGTTCACCACAAATTAAGGGCACAAATGCTTGTTACTTGGGAGAAGGTTCTTAAAAATACAAATATATTTAAGGTTCTCTAGTACGAACCTTCATATTCGGCTTTTGATGAGCCTCAAGTTCAAGTCCTTTTCATACCTCTCATTACCAACCCATCTTATACGTGTGCATTCAATTTCTGTTTTCTAAGTGAAGAGCTGAGTCTCTTATTTTCAGCCAACTTCTTTAGTCCTTGACCGTTTTTAAATGCTGTTCCTATCTTCTAAGCATTCTCTAGCTCACCTAATGCTATGTGATCTGCAAATTTGATACCCATCCCCTCCCCTTTCTTATTCCAAATCTTGTGATACCCCTTAGTAGTCCCAAAGTGCTTTTTCAAGAGGCAATGGGACTTTCTGGTTTTTCTTTGAAGACATTTCACTTCTAAGAAGCTTCTTCAGCTCTATACTACCCCTTAGTACAACCCTCCAGTTTGATTAGGAACTAAGGGTGTCTGAATGCAATGGTTGACCACGTTTAACTACATTGCTAATTAAAATGTAAATGTCACCTGCTTTGTCCAAATAAGATATATTGTGATGACATTCCTGTTATTCCCCTTATTTGATTTATATAGCTGTCCATCTCACACAAGTGACCCTGGGGTGGCTTACAGCATTAAAACATACAAACCCACCACACGTAGCCCCTCCCCTACCTCCCAAGGAGAAGCCAGGACCCCCACCCCCAGCATCAATAAGAGCCAAGCCATCTGAACTAAATAGTTGAAGGGGGGGGGGGGAAATGGGACAGTCAGATCTTCAGTGCCTTGCAAAATACTGTCCATAAAATTACTCAATACAAACAGGAAGGCAGTTGGATAAAGCTTGTCATTCACAAATCTCTGCTGAAATTTAGGTAGCATCACTTTGTTTCCAGATTGTGCCCATTCTATCATCTCTAGTCTCTCTCAGACCTCCATTGTTTGATTGCCATGTCCTCTCCCTCCCCTTTGAAAAGGGACCTTGGCCTCCCCAGGAAGGATAAGGATAAATAAGCCTAGATGGGGAAATAGTTTGCCTTGTCTTTCTTATCTCTCTCTCTCTCTCTCCCGCCCTGCTGTCCCCCAGCTATCTTTATTGAGGTCCAGCATCATTGTTTGCCTATAGGTCTGGCCTAGCAGCACCTTTCCTTGCCTAGTTGTAGTGGGTGGGTGGGTGTGAAGAGATTTAGCCCATTCCTTCCCTTTCTGTGGGGTGTGTTTGTGCGCTTCTACATGGCATGGCAGGGGAGCGGCCACCACAGCCCCACTTTCAGGGAAGGGGCAGTGAGGGAAGCTGCCCTCCCACCCTTTGGCCATGGGAGTTTCAGCCACTCCCGCCCGCAGGACCTTTGACCCCACACCAACGAAGAAGAACCACACATCAAGGCCGTTTTTGGAAATGCATGGAATCCGCACTTGGCCAGAGTGATCCTCAACTCACTTTCAGGAGAAATGAAGTACAGATAGTCCTTCACATATGACCACAATTAAGCCCAAAATTTCTGTCGCTAAGCAAGATAGTTTTGCCCCATTTTGCGACCTTTCTTGCTGCATTTTTTAAGTGAAAGGCTTCAGTTGTTAATTTAGTGACAAAGATGTTAAGTGAACCTGGCTTCCCCATAGACTTTGCTTGCTGGAAGGTCGCAAAAGGGGATCACGTATCCCAGGGATACTGCAACTGTCATAAATATGAGTCAGTTGCCAAGCGCCTGAATTTTGATTGTGTGACCTTGAGGATGCTGTAAGTGTGAAAACTGGTCACAAGTCACTTTTTTCAATGCTGTTGTAACTTTGAATGGTCACTAAATGAACTGTTGTAAGTTGAGGATTGCCTGTATTTAAAGGGAAGTCATATCTGGCCACAGATCAGAGACTCACCTCCATTCTTGAGAGTTAACCAGACCTGGTTATGTGTACAGGCTAAATCGGGGCTTCTGTAGAGAGGCCTGAAGAGCGGGAACCCCTGATCGGCATCCTTCTTGGCCTCTCTTTCAGCCAATTGCTTTGCAATGACCAAAGAGCTGTCCTGAGCAGCGGAGAGGTCATAGACTGGACAGCCCTAGAGAAGACCCTAAAAGCCGTGGCAGAAAATGGAGCCAAAGAATTCTACTCTGGGAGGACGGCAGAAAAGTTAGTGCAAGATGTCAGAGCTGAAGGTAGGACTAAGTTTATTTATTTATTATTATTATTAGTCATATTTCTATGCCGCCCACTCTCTGAGGACTCTGGGCGGCTTACACCAAAGACAGTATACTAAATAGCATATTGCACCCAACAATCTGGGTCCTCATTTTACCCACCTCGGAAGGATGGAAGGCTGAGTCAACCTTGAGCCGGTAAGATTTGATCTGCTGATCTGCTGAACTAGCAGTCAGCTGAAGTAGCTGCAGTACTGCACCCTAACCACTGCACCACCTTGGCTCTTATAAGTTGCATGGTTCTCCCAAACCAGTTACTGTTCAGGTTCCTGCCAGTCACGAAGTGAATAATCTGCAGTTGTTTAACTCTGGAGTGGCCTACGCCTGAGATTTGAGAGAGGTAGTCACTCAATTCCCATGAAATGGGGCAGTGCCGGACCATCAGCCAAGAAAGGGTGAGCCTGTGGTGAGACGGTGCTGTAGCTTGACCTGTCTGATCTGAGTTATGCCTTTCGTGTCCTCTTCAAAGTGGGGAGAGGGGGAGAGAGACAGAACGTCAGGTTTATTTCATGTATGGAATATGCGCTACCTCCAAAGCATGCTAAGCTGGCGTTCAAAAACCACCAACAACAGCCAAAAGACATCCAGAGATTTGTTCTTCTTACCCCCACCTCCCTTTGGGACCCCGTCGACTACCCCCATTGGTTAGCAGCTGTTCAGACTGCTCCAAGACCTGGTCTAAGAGGAGAAAGACTCAGTGAAAAGACCCCAAGACTCCCAATGTCCAAAGCAGAGGGAAACTAGAGGTGAAGAGATGCTGACCTAGCTTGGAACGGGTCTAGGACAACTCACTGTGACTAATGGCCAACTCTCTGCAGGACAATTCAATTGTTTCATTCAGTTATTCTTATTGGTGACCACATTTTTATTGAAATATTTGTAACTCTTGTGTTTCTGGATTGACTTTCTTTATTATTATTGGCCATAATAATAATTTCAATTGGCCATTGAAATTAATTTAACCTTTGTGTTTGTTGAATTGTCCCCGGGTGAGTTGCCCCATTCTGGCCTGGAACAGCCAAGAGGTGCCAGGCTCAGTCCAATCTGCGGGGATCTCTGCAACTCCCACAGGTGGTCAGTGAAGCTGATGCAGTCATAGCTATGCAAAATGGAGGTTGGGGGAAGGGAAAAGGCAGTACTTTCTCACCAGCACAGCAAAAGATGATGTAAAGTTGATGATGCTTGCTTGCTTTAGGCTGCCATTGTAACGCGAGGGGGGAGGTATTGTAGGTATTTGGGAGGGGGGAAGGGAGCTGGTGGAGATGTCTCGAAAGAGGGAGGAAAATTCTCGTTGTCTTTTTAGCAGCTGCAGAGAGAGCTGATAACTGCCAAGGTCAACCATTCCGGCATACCAGGTAGATGGGGCCGCCTAAAGAAGTGCCCCACATGACACCTTGGGGAGATGTAGATTGGACATTTGCCTTGGGACTGTGGGGGGAGGGATTTGAGGGAGACTTTCAATATGTAATTTTCGCGCCTATTGCCTCAGACTTTGTTTTTCTTTTGCTGTATTCAGTTCATACTCAGTAAAAGTACTGTTAGATTCGATGATGGAAGAGATAGACAGAGCTCTTCAGTGACAACAGCTCTTTATTAGTAGACCAGTACAACCCAACAATCTGCTTGTCTGGCAGCGTCCACTTTTATGGAGGGCTGCCAGACAGCTTAACCAATGAGCTTTAAGTATTTTCCTGCTGTTTTGGAGGACCTGAGTGAAGCCTATGGCTCACTCCTTATATGTTACATAACACCCCTCCCCTCCTAGAATACAATTACTTAAGTCAATATATGTACATATTTACAGACGTAATCACGCAGGTAGGCGGGGCTGGTGCGAGCCCTAGTAGACCTGCGCAGTTCAGTTTGTTCCTGGGTGTTGACTTGAGCAGGTGGATTAGTCTCTGGACCCACCAATGGAACCTCCTGGAACATGTCGCCGGGCGTGGTAGGAGCTGGAAGGCCCAACCCCTTGGGAAGTCTGCCCTGGAGTTTTGGTTCCACAGGTTGGCAATCAAACTGCACAATCGGGTTTGAATTGGATTTAACAGTTTAGAACAGTCAGGGTCAGTTTGAGTTTGGTCTGGTGTGCGAAGCAGAGTGTTTGAAATCCGGCCATGGAGTTGGTCCACATGCCAACGCCACAATCTCCCGTTCTCTAGCTCAACCTTGTAGGAGCAAGGACCAGAGAGTTCCACAACTGTGCCAGGAATTCAGAGAGCGCCTCTGGCATAATTGTGAGCATAGACCTTGTCCCCAATTTCAAACTTCCTAATTTTCCCAGAGGAATCGAGGGGAGTGTCAGCAATATAATTTGGATGCAATCGGTCCAATTGAGGTTGGATTCTCTGTCCCATGAGGAGCTCTGAGGGGCTTCTATTGGTGGCAGCGCAAAGGGTAATATGTTGAATCAGTAAAAACTTATCTATTTGGGCCTGCCAATCTCCCGCACCCATTCTGGCCAATGCCTCCTTTGTAAATCTCACTAATCGTTTGGCCTGCCCATTACTGGCCGGAGGAAATGGAGCCACCAGGGCATGTCTGATGCCCAATTCAGCCAAAAAGGCCTTGAATGGGACAGCCGTCAATTGTGGGTCATTGTCCGAGACTAGCACGTCGGGAAGGCCATGCGTAGCGAACAGTTTTCTCAGCGCCTTAATAACAGCCTTGGCAGTGGTAGAAGTCATTAGGGCTATCTCTAACCAATTAGAGTAAGCGTCAACAACGATAAGGAACGTTTGCCCCTTTACTGGCCCCACGAAGTCAATGTGCACCCTGGCCCATGGCGCCTGGGGTTCCTCCCATGTTTTAGATGGGGCCATGGGGGGAGCCAGTTGGGATTCCTGGCACGGGGAGCAGGTGGTGACCCTTTCTGCAATGCCATGGTCCATTCTCGGCTATCAGATGTAACTCCTAGCCAGGCCCTTCATCCTGACTATACCAGGATGCCCAGCATGCAAAACTTCCAGCACTTCCCTCCGTAGTTTGGAGGGTACGACCACCCTTTCCCCCCATAATAAACAACCTTTCAATACAGACAGTTCATTTCGGTGCGAGAAATAAGGCTGTGCTGCTCCTGACACTGGGTTCCTGGGCCAACCTCGCCACACATAGTTTAAAATTTGCATTAGTTCAGTGTCCTTAGGAGTATGCCGAACAATCTCAGCTGCAATAATGGGCCCCGAAGTGATGTCCTCTAGCAGGAGGACTTGGCAGACCAACGCAGGGTCTTCCACCAGGGCAGGCAGGGGGCAGCAGCTCAGCACATCGGCATGGCTCAGGGACTTTCTGGGCCGGTGAATTAGCCGGTAGCTGTAGACTACCAAGAATAGAGACCATTGCACCATTCAAGGTGGCATGACGGTCGGAGTTGGGCGGTCACCCGCCAACAAACCCAGCAGGGGCTTGTGGTCAGTCACAAGGGTAAAATGTCTGCCATACAAATAGTCATGGAACCACCGGACCCCAGTGACCACAGCCAGTGCTTCTCTGTCCAGCTGGCTGTAGTTTCGCTCAGTGGCAGACAAGGTGTGGGAATAGAAGGCAAGAGAAGCCTCCCGGCCATTAGGAAGCTGATGGCTGAGGACAGCCCCCACCCTGAAAAGCAAGGCATCACAAGTCAGGATCAGGGGTAGGGTGTCACTTTAATGGACCAATATGCTGTCAGATGTCAGCAGGTTCTTTACTGCGGCGAAGGCAACCATCTCCCAGGCCCCAACACCAGGAAGCCATTTTTCCCAGCAGCCTATGTAAAGGTTTGGCCACAGTGGCCTTATGCGCTAAGAATATGCTGTAGAAATTGAGCAGCCCTAGAAAGGCTTGCAGATCTCTCTTATTTTGTGGTGCAGGAGCATTTTGAATGGTGGCAATTTTGGACTTGGTGGGGGGAAACCCTGAGCCATCAATCATGTATCCCAGGAATTCCACCCGGGGCACTGCAATGTGGCATTTTTCCCGCTTAAGGCCCGCCTCTCTGAATCTGGACAGGACAGTCCTGAGACGGGCAAAGAGAGCAGGTTTATTGGTAGCGGACACCAGGACATCATCAAAATAAGGCACCACCCCAGGGATGCCTTGTAACAGCCATTCCATTAAGCTTTGGAACAATCCTGGTGCCACGCTGACCCCAAATTGCAAGCGGCAGCATGAGTGACAATAGTTTGGGCTTCGGCCGTGCTGCAGTGGTGGGTTTCAATTTTTTTTATTACTGGTTCTGTGGGTGTGGCTTGGTGGGCATGGCTTGGTGGGTGTGGCATGGGAAAGATACTGTAAAATCCCCATTTCCTCCTGATCAGCTGGGACTCAGGAGGCGGAGAATAGATGGGGGTGGGACCAGTCAGAATTTTTACTACTGCTTCTCTGAACTACTCAAAATTTCTGCTACCAGTTCTCCAGAACTGGTCAGAACCTGCTGAAACCCACTGTTAGGTATGCCTCCTTTCAGTACTCAAGAAAGAAACACCCCGACTCAATTTTCATAAAGGTACTTTTACTGAGTATGAACTGATTGGAACCAAAGAAAAGCAAGGTCTGAGGCAATAGGCACGAAAATCACATATAGAAAGCATTCTTAAAACCCTCCCCCCAATGGTCCAGTCAGGATTATCCATGGGGTCATGTGGGGTGCAGCTTCCGATGGCTCCAACCTCCTGGTATGCCACAACGGTTGACCTTGAGTGGTTATCAGCGCACCACCCAGCTGCAGAGAAACGCTGAGGAAAACTTCCTCCAATTTACTCCACCAGCTCACTTCCCCTCGCCCAACATCCAGACAGCTCCCCCCTCCCCCCGTTACAATGGCAGCCGAGCAAGCAAGCAATATAAAGACAGAGGCTGACACCCACCTCTGCCGTGCTATCATCGACCGGTAGTTGTTGGTAGGCTTGTGCGAGATCAAGTTTGACAAATGTTGTTCCTGTTCCCAATGAATGCAGTAGGTGTTGAACGATGGGAACAGGATA